GTAGAAGACTACGTTATTCAAAATTTGACCATCGTGTTTCCACAATGGAAAGAACATACATGTATACATGCAGTTCTTCATTTAAAAATAATACACGGTGATAATAGTTGGCTGCAATAATTTGAAAAGTGATACAGCCGTTCAGAGCGGACAACGCAAAATCCCGTTTCGAGACTGATAGTCCGTTCGGGCTAACTCTCTTTTGGGCTAATAAAACCACAGTTTAATCATAATTTGAAGCAGATGCACAAATACAGAATTTAAAGGATGAATATCAGATTGATTTTGCCAAGGATCGTTACACATTGGCCATTTTTGTGATATTTTCTCCAAACGAATTTGAACAGTAATTTGGTAATCATCAACGTAATTCAATTGACATCAAATCTTAAGTAATCTGTAATCTAAAAAATAAGACTGTTCTCGAAAGCTTATTGACTTTATCTATAAAGTCGATAAGCTTTCGAGAAGAGTAAAAAATCATCTGAGGAACAAAAAAGTTAGGCTTGTGAAACAATTGATTGCAAATAAATTAACGTAACAATAACTCATTATCCTAAAGGAGCGTTAGCCCAGATGAGCTGTTAGTCTCAAAACAGGATTTTGCATTGAATCACTATAAAAGTCTGAAACAATTTTCAAGCTGTTGCCACCAAATATTATAACCATGCATTATATTGAAATAAATTAAACAATGAAGAATTTGCATGAATGTATGCATGTTTCTCGCTTTGTAAAAAAACAATGGTACCTAGAGCCATCAAAGTTTGAGTAACGTAATCCTCCACCCGAATATGGACACTTGGACGTCCAAATTTTGAATTTCGAATTTGTTTTATTATGTATTCATATTTCGTAAAACTTTAACGAATTTTTAACCAAAGCAATGATTTCAAAGCGAGCAACGGCAACACTGTTTGGGAAAATATATTTTTATATCGAGCGCACGAGACTGTATGTCGGAAATTCTATAGATAGGCTGTTTTTAAATATTTTTAGTCCAAATGCTCTCGAATCATGTATGTATATGTAAATGAAAAAAAACGCCCCTTTGTGCATAACACAAAATTTGAAAGCTTTCAGATTTTTTTCTTTAAAAAAATTCATTAATTAAAGTAAAATCGATACATTTAAATAAAGGTGTGAAGAGGTCTATTTCTTTACGAAAGAACTTTGGCTGAATCAATTTTGTAAGAGCTCTTTAATTTTTGACTTTATACATTTCTTTTAATTTGTCATGCAATTTTGGTTTTTTATTCACTTTTTGGCTTCTGCAATTATTTGAAATTAAAATTAATTTTCGAAATAGGTTCGAACTTAGATTAAATAAAACTTAATGAGTATTTAAAAAATTAATCACATTTTGCCTTTTTTTATTTTAACATTTTGTTTATTTTTTTAACATTTGTTTGCATATTCTGCATATGTGCAAAATTAAAGGCTTAAATTTTAGGAGTTTTACGTAATCTTGAATCTAGTTTTTATAAATATCATTTATCGCTATAATAATAATAAAAAAATCATTTCTTTTGACATTTTAATCTGAATGTCGAGCTTCTAATATATTACAGAAATACGTTAAATAACTTCAGCAATTTCTTGATTATTTATTTATTTAAACAAATATTTCAGTTTTTTTTTTAAATTAAAGCTGAGAAAAACATAAGTAGGAAAGGTTTCAGATTTTATATTACGCCCAAAGGGGCGTTTTTTTAACGTTTTGCGTGCTATATTTATTTATTAAATATCATGTTCTTTGCATTCAAACCATAAAATTTATCTTAACAGCAATATTACAAAATATTTAAAAAGAGAATATCTTTAGAATTTTCGCTACAGTTTCATGCACTGGAAATAAATATCTTTTTTTTTTTTTTTTTTTTTTTCCTTGTACAGTGTTACCATTGTTCGCTTTGAAATCGTTGAGTTTGTTAATCAAAATCTCATAAATGCTTTACAAAATATGAAATAGATAATAAAAAAAATTCCATATTTGGGCTTTCTGCTGCCCATATTCGGGTGGAGACGTACCTTATTGAAAATTGGATGGTTTTAGGTACCTTTGTTTTATCAAAATGCGAGAAACATTGCATGCATTTACGCAGATTATTCATTGTTTAATTTCTTTAAATATAATACAGGGCTCTAGTATTCGGTGGCAAGAATTTGAAAAATGAAACGCCGTTTATGGTGAAATGCCATAAAATGCCGAAACGAAATTAATAGCTCTTCTAGGCTAAAGCCCTTTGGGTTAGACAAAGTAAATGAAAGAAATCATCTTCTGTAACTTGTGTTCTAAACTACCAAAAAGTTTAGAATTGATTAAGAATTTAATGATAACTATATTAATTACTCCTTACACGCTACTAATTATTCCTTTTGTACGAGAGAATTCTAACTTCGAATTTAATTTAAAAAACTCTCTTTCACGCATTTAAAATTTTAAATTATCTTTTAAGAGGTTCGTTCGTTTTTTTTAAACTAATAGCTTTTCGAATGCATTTGAGCTCACTGAAAGTTGAGAATTCTTTTCCCTGGTAATTAATAGAAAACGAAGAGTCGTAAACATCCCAGAACAAGCATTCTAATGGTTAGCATTAAATCATTAAAAGTACTTACCAAAACAATTCAATTTCAACAACAGACTTCTATTCGTAAAATCATTTAAGTGTAACTCATAACCAGGCGTCCATTTTTGACACTATTAAACATAATTTAGAGATATTCACTGAGAAACTAAATTACGTAATTTTAACCATGATTTCTTACTTATTTTTAGCCACGAATATTTTAAATATTCCCATCATCACATGCACTTAAAATTATAACTGATTTAGGAACACCATTTTATTGTGAATGTCGTTGTCAATAAACTCATATTTTGTATAGATTTGAGTTTTCACTATGTCACTTCAGTTTTCAGTAATTCTTTAATTTTTAATTACGGAATCGTAAAAAAAAAAAAAAAAAAAAAAAAAAATGTTACAAATATACATGAATATTTCTTATCAATTTTCATACGAAAAATTACCTGTGCAGCGCTTATTAAATTAAATATTAGCAGCTAACATATAAAGCACCTTCCAAATTCTTCCTCCACTAGAACGATGTCAGACACCAGGGTACATGGGCTCGAGGCCCTACCTCTGTAGAATAATTAAATTTTCGAATTTTATGGAAAAATAACCTGTTTAGATCTAATTATATATATAGTATATATATATATTATATATATATTTTAAATAAATTTTAGTGAATTTAAGAAGTTCTTCTACAGTACCTAACAACTTCATCTATATGCTCTTTGAAAATTCGTCTTTAAAAATATACTGCGTTATTATAAGTAATGACTTTTATGAATAAGTTCCAGAGTAGTGAATTTTCGCGTTGTGTTTATGTGTATGAACATAATATTGAATATAAATTCCAATCAATGGGTGTACACTTATATGCCATCGATTGGAAATTCCAATATATAATGCAAGCTTATGTAGTGTGATGTCTAAGAGACTCTTAATGTAATTTTTTTACGTTCAGAAGTGTTTCAACACCATGTGACGAGCAAAATTCACCAAAATTCATACCTGAATTAATTTTTTAAACACCTTACCTAATTGCTAATCAAATTATTGCATTTATCTCCTAATTAAATGGTTCTACTTAATTTCCTAATTAATACGGGAGAATCAAATGTTATATAGCTTATTGCTATACGTTTCTCTCAAAAATTTCCCTGCTTCTTTTGAAATTATTCAGACAATAATATTTATCGGTTTCAATCAATTTAACATGTTTTATATAGCAAAACATGAAAAGGAGTCAATAAAAAAATTCCATACAAAAACAAGAAAATAATTTTTAAAAAAAATCTGAAAGCTTCTCAGATTTTATATTTCTCCCAAAGTGGCATTTTTTCATTTACACACACATACACGTTTCGAGAGCATTTGGGCTAACACCCCCCTTGAGTTAATGTTTAAAAATGCCTTTAGAATTTCCGACAGAGAGCCTCACGCGTTGGAGATAAAAATATTTTATCCGTTCAGTCCACCACTGGTGGCTTTGAAATCGTAGAGTTTTTTAATCAAAAATTTGGTAAAGTTTTTCAAAATATGAAAGATATAATAAAACAAATTCGAAATTCTAAATTCGGCCTTTCAGGGGCCATATTCGGGAGGAGGACTATGCTATTCAAAATTGAATGACTCTAGGTACCATGGTTTCTTCACAGTGCAAGAAACATATATACAGAGCAAGAAACATTCCTGCAGATTATTCATTACTTAACTTCTTTAAATATAACACAGTGGGGGAATATTTGGTGGCAACAGTCTGAAATATGATTCAACGCTTTTAGTGATTAGATGCAAAATACCGTTTCGAGACTAGTACTGCTTCTGGGATAACGTTCCTTTTTGCTAATAGCAAATAAATAAACAAACAAGAAATAAACGGACTTTATTTCTGTTTGTATTGAGGATTACAAGAAAAGAATGTTTAAAAATGTAGTCTTTTGGAGTAGTTCATATTTTGCAGTTTAATTTCCTGTTACTTTAAGAGATTACTTCCATCCATACATAGTCACGTCAGTAATTATAAATAGCATTACTGAAAACTAGTTATCGAAAAAGTGTAAATAACCTCATTACATAACGCTAAAATCGTGTATTAAAAAATAAAGGTCTAAGAATGAACGAGGGAAAGAAAGAACTCACGAACAAGAATCTATATTTCTTTTGCCTTAACGATGATAAAGACATCGTGCAGAATCCTAAAGTGATTGTTTGAGCCGTCGATCGGCAACGCCTGTCAGCGGCTACATTCTCCTCTAATCCATCAATCACATACTCAGAACCGCGCCTTCCTCGAGTTTCATTGGTGCGCCGCTAAATGGGTAATTCTGGCCGAAGCCCCGCCTACCTTAGTGTGTGACGTCATCCACTGGGAGGAATCGCTCTGCCATCGGAAAGCCGTTGATGCGGCTGTTGGTTGCGAATTAGGCGTAGCATGGATGGCTCGATGTGAAGCCGTTGTTGTTCTCCTCCGTTGTTAGACTTTGTGCTGCTTGTCAAAACAAACGAGGGTGACACTGCCGCTTCTTCTTGCGCCTCTGCTCAACGTGTTTGAACTCAAAGTGTTGCTGAAAATAGGACAATGCGGGCTTCTTAGCGAACTTTAGAACAACTTTAGTAATGCTGTGACAACAACCAGGCCCTAAGGATGGACACGAGACTTTTAGAACCCGCTTTCGGACACACGCACAGTCACGTGCTGGCACGACTGGGGCGATTTTTGCCGTCGCCGTACATGCACTTCGGTTCTCCTATTGCACCTTACAGCGTTCCATTGGCGGCGGCCCACCATGCAGCAGCGGCTCATCATCATCATGCAGCAGCGTTTGATTACGGGCAGGCGGCCGCCGCGGCTGCGGCTATGGCCGGCGGGGTGCCCTACTCCATTGACGGCATCCTCAGCATGACGCCGGCCGGTCTAACGGCCGCGGCTAATGGACTAGGAGGTCCCGTTGGATCGGGAGGTGGAACTGGGGGCCCCGGAGATCCGAACTCTCATGGACATGGCAAAAAAGGTAACATTTTACTTTCTACTACATCATCACTTTTGAGCGTGCTGCGAAACGCAAAGAGATATTCACTAATACTCCGAGATCGGAGTATCAAAATTATTGGAAAATTTGACGATCGTTCATTTTTATGATACTTCGGTACTTTTAGGCGAGATTTATATATATTTATCTATTTTAAATGCTACTCATCGAACAAATGGGCTACCTATCGACCCCCTCATGTGCTTAATTTGATTGTTTACATATGTATTTGAATAAAAGGGAAGATTTAACAGATTCACTTTTGAAAAGTTCTTTTAAATATCTATTTTCTGATTTTTTTCTTCATTTCTGAATGTATTCAGAACGCCGATGAGTTGGGGAGGTATAAATACTTATTTTTATTTACTTATTTTTTTTTTTATTATTATTTTTTTTAAACCCTATTCTTTAGAAGGAGGTGGCAGTTTCTTGCAAGTTGCATTTAGAGTTTTCTTTCCAATATTCTTTTTGGAATTACTAATAAAAGCTGTGAAAGTCGTTTATAATTAAAAATTATGGTAACCTGTAATATATGGCAATATGTTTAATCGTGAATAGTATATAATGCAAGATAAAAAAGCATAACAAATTAAGGGTTTTTAATATATGAAGCAGTTTTGCCCATTCATTACATTTTCCATAAAATAAAAAGGTGTGCTCGTGCACACAGGGGTGGGGATGAAATCTTATCTTGGGGCTTTAAGGTATACGTTTAATGCGAAATATAAATGAGAAAAATGTGTGTTTTACTTTTTTTGTTTCCTAAAATAACTCTAAATGCAAACAGAAAATGTAACTAAATCATATTTATTGTTGATTATCTTCTCTGTTTACAAATACTAGCAAAGGCTCAGCTCTAATAAATTTAGAATATTTGCAGGATTACTTTAATGATTTTTCTCGATACATTTTAAGCAGGGTATAATGAAAACAATTTTTTTATTGTATTTACAATGAAAAGACAAAAGAGTTTACAAACTTTTTATACAGATATGATCTTTGAATAAATTATGAGTTATGACAACTCTTAAAAATATTTTATTAATAATTTCAAAAAGCTCTTTTATTTTATGAAACAATTAAGGAGCAAATGTGATTAAACCAACTGCGTGGACTGATTTTTATTCACTAGAAGTTTAGATTGCAATTAAAGTAATAACCATCTATAATGAAACGAAAGCTAAGGATTTAACGATATTGGTGGTGGTGGGTGAGGAAGTTAATCTAAAACACGTTCACATGTACTCACATATGATAATTTACTGTAAAAAATACTGATTGATGTGGAAGTGATTAAGAATCTAAAATTGCATCATTGTTATTATCATACGCGAAATGCTGAAGGAAATTTTTCCTCCATTCAGCTCTATTAATTCAAAAGACATTGCTTTATGATTTTCACATCTGTTGACATTAGCACATTTGTAATGTAAGCGGTAATGTTTTAAGCATAAAAAATACCCTCCCCAACTTTCCATATAGATTTGTTTATTCCACCTTTAACATTCCTGTTAAGAAGGAATACATACGAAATATTTTTTAAAAAGGCAGAATATGCAACAACTTAAGAATCAGATGTGTGAAAAGTAGGGTGTAATTAGATGTATCGGGATTAAACTGCCTCTTCTGAAGCATTTTATGCAATAATTCCTAGGCAAAAACGTATCGAAAAGGTGACAGAATGAAATTCGAACTTTCAGGTATATTACGAAGTGCAATTAAATTTCTAATACTAGTTTTATATTCATTTATAATTGTTTGTTTGTTAGGTAACTTAACCCTAAAGGAAAGAGCCTCTTTTATAACTAAATACATGCAAATTCGCATTATTTGAATTTGAAAAATGGGCTCACTGAAGCATGATGTACTGATTCTTATCTAATCTATTCTAATCGTCGAACGAAACTTTTTTTTTTCCTTACCAGCAGTTAATATGGGAAGGTAGCTTGTGATTATAAATAGTATAGTTGATATTCTTGGCTTCTCTCCTAACAAGGGGGGGGGGAGTACAATCGATTCATAATTCAGTAATGGAAATTTACCTGCTGTTGTGAATAAAACAAATTGAGCAGATAGTTCGTAATAGCATATGTCTGTATATATATATATATTGTTATTTAACGTAGCTGTTGCTAATGTAAGCACACGTATATACTGAAAAGAGGTATTTTATAGAGGTGGAGGCATGTTCTGATCATATTTCAAGAATTAGGAGAATCACATGCTTCTGCATTGGAGTTAGCGAAAGGGAAGAAATATTCTTGGAAATTAACCAGAATCGCAAATAGTTCTTGAATTGTTCAGTAGAGACACAGTATTAGTAATGATGTAATTATTTTTTAAAAGACAACCGACATGGTGGAACTATATAAGAGTTTCATGACTTTTTTATTGATGCCGTGGCGTGATACGTCTTCCAAATAAATCTGATATATCTTGGAAAAGAAATAAATGTAACAGAAAAGTATATTTCTTTGTCTAACACTCAGTTCCTGAAGTGCTAGACAAAGAAGATTCGAAGAGATGACATAGCCAATCCAAACTGATGCAAAATTTATGCTTAAAAATAAACAGAGATGATTCGTGTTGAAATAAATGTATTGAAAAGGGAAAATCCCGTAATAAAATGCGGCTAAAATTTTCTGCTATATTAAGCTATGTTAAATTATGCTTCAGTACACAAATTTGCTGTGCGGTTGCTGTCTTTAAAACGTATTTAAAGAGATTTCTTGTCCCTTTTTCAACTCATTACATGGTTGCCAACCTTCAATGTAAAGACCAATTTTTAGACAAAGTTTGTTTTATATATATATATTACCGGAAGTACCCAATGCCAGTTAAGTTAAATTGAGAGTAATGTATCTAACAACAGAAAGAACCATATCGCTGTAATCCTTCTGTAATAATGATGCAAAAAATACAATTCATAGTCATAAAATTTTCAGTCTGATACGATATGGAAACCACATAAAAAATTCCTTAAAAATAAACTAATTCTTTCTCATTATATCAGCAACAATGGCACGCAGTTTTTAATGATTTTCGTCTTTCTAATCAAATGGTCGTAAAAGCTCAAGTTCCATCCAATATTTCACCTATATTCAATTTTAGTCGATTAAATATGGCCAAACATAGATCATAATAGATCAGAAATCAATAACGCGAACAAACACACATTCTTCTTTTTATGTAGAGATTTTGTAAAACTCACGAATTTTTTAACAGACTGTACGATTTGAAAGCGAGCAGTAGCAACACTTTTCGAAATAAAGCATTTTTATCTCCAACGCGCGAGACTGTTGCCACTCGGAAAAATGAGTGCCAAACTTAGTGCTTTCAGGGTTTTCAATTAAAGTCGTACGAAGATGGGAATTGTCGATATGGCTTCCCACGAATTTTGGGGAATCGGGAATAGTGTATTTAATGTTTGGTAATGCTATTTTTATTTCATGCTAAAACGCTAAAATTTCGAAATTTTTTATCAACAAACTGTATGATTTGAAAGCGAGCAGTGGCAACGCTTCTCGAAATAAATCAGATTTTCATCTCCAGCGTGGGAGACTTGCCACTCTGAAAAATTAGGACGAAAATTAGCATTTCCAGAGTCTTTAATTAATATCTCTGATTTTAGCTTTTTTTTTTTTTTTTTTTTTTTTGCCCTGAAAAAGATGGATGTCGACCTTTTCCAGAACCCAGATAAGAATTGCAAAAATTTTGGTGACAATAGCTATAGTAGCGACTGAGGTAGAGGCGAAAAAACACAGATTCTTTATATATATATCAAATTTGTATAATATAACACTAATTTAGCTTGGACTGATTCGCATGCCTAGAAAGAAAGATTTAAATTAGATTAATTGAATTACATAGAAAAATAAAAAGTATATTATGGCTTATAGAAAGGTCTGATTCAAAAGTATTCCAAAAGATACCCAGGTTAAATGTCATGCGCTTGATCAAAGTGAGGAGTAAGCTCATCATTTTATTGTTCCGCTTAAATCCCCAACTTTATATACACATCATTCTTATTAGTTGCTTTGCTTGGCACGGTTCTTTTGCTTGAACTCTGAGACAATTAATCACTCATTTGGAACAAAATATGTCCTCTTATTAAAACTCTAATGCATTTAATAAGTAAAAACTAAAGAAGTACAAAAACGTCTTTCTGGTAAAAATAACGAAATTATATTTAATTATTTTTAGAATTAAACATTTTGTTTGTTTTCCTCTAAAATATCTTTATCATATATAGATAAGTACACAATTCATGTATATGTGAATAAAACACTTGTATATGTAAACATAAAAATATATATAAATTCTCACACAAAACATTCATATGTAGACATAAAACATTCAGTTTTTCCGTAATTTCATTACAAGAGTTTTCAAAGAGTACTTCGTACATTTAATTTTTTATTCTGATGAATTTATAATGTAATATACGAGTGTCTTGCGACCCCTCTGGCCGATAATAGTCGGCCTTATGGTTAAGGCAACAGATTAAAACAAAAATACTATTAAAAATAGCAAATTAAAATTCTCAGTATATTGTTCTATTGCCATTTGTAAAATTAATTAAATTCTTTGCAATTCTAAACTCTTTGCTGTGGCAATAGAATTCCTTTATGTTGCCATGTTTTTTCCAACTGTGTTGGATTAGATAGGGTTAGATTGCGCAAGTCGTACCACCTCTTAAGTCGCACCTTTGAAATATTAGGCGTAACATCCCGCCAATTGCGCCTTTTCCGGCAAAGCGATTTATCACATCGGGTTTGTCTTCTTATAACAATTGCGAAGAAGCCCGCTAAAAGAATATGATTCAGCGCCTAAAATGCAAAGGATGGGTACACGACTTGGAGTTGACAAGAAATGCAAAAATATCTTTGTGACCATTGTTGCAATTAATTGCATAATAAATTGAGAAAAAGAAAGTTTTATTATAATTGTTCAATTTTAAACATAGTATGACTTAAGGTACA